CACCGCGATCCCCGCTCCCGTGCGTGTGTCCCCCCCTCTCCTCCTCCCCCAGCCCGCGCATCCCCCGGAGCCGGGTCCGCCCTCGGTACCGGGTGCGGGGAACAAAGCTGCGGGGCGCGGCTCGTCTGATGGTAACGGGGATGGGGGTGTCCGATAGGGACCCCCGCCCCCCCGCCGCTCAGGGCATCTCCTCCTCCGCGGTGGCCACCCAAGACCCCTGACCCCAGGGGTGATTTTATCCTGCAGATGAGTATCGCTCCGTTTTTGGGGGGGCTTGTCCCCCCCAGAGAGGGATGGCCGGAGGAGCTCTGTCTGTCGGGATGGGCGATGGGACCCCTGTTGCTGCCGGGCGTTGCTCTCCTTCAAGGTGGTTCTGTGGGAGAGATCCTCTGTGCCCCAGAAACCTCGCGGGGGTTACATTGTACCAGCTGACGGCCCCCCCTCCTCCCCAAAAATGACAAGGATGAGCAGAATTTGAGATGTTCCACAAATCTTGAGGGTCTTGGGGCAGGGTGATGCTGTTTACCCCCCGAGAGAGGCCAGGGGCGGTGGTGGAGGAGGGAGAGGCCAAGATCCGCCATGGTGGGGAGGCCGCTGGGGGCCACAGGGGCAGAAGGCGGTGGGACCCCGGAGGGAGGGACGAGGTCTGTAACATGGGGGGTAAGGGGAGCGGTTGGCCACTGCAAAGCATGTGAGCTGGCTCCCATCACGAGGAGGACGAGGGTCATGGAGGAAGGCAGACCTGAAAGCAGCCAGGATTCTGCGGGTGCATCGGGAGAGTCTCATCGCCATGGAAGCAGGTGGGGCTGGACAGCCTAATCACAGCAAAGAGTTTGTCTAAAAACGCAGTCCTTTGTCTGGCAGACACACTTCTCCTTTTCAGTGGGTTTTTTTTGTATTCTTGGGTGAAAATTGATCTCGCTGATGCGCTTAAACCATCAGTGCCTGTGGTTATGGCTTCCCACATCCTCCCCGTGCACCCGTGGGCAGCCAACAACCCCTCACACGCTCCCGTTGCCCAGGCCCAAGCGTGTCCAGAGACCAGACGCGGCCGGTGAGAACGTTCACCTAAACTGGTGTTTCTCTCCCTGTCTTTGCAGCCCTGCCTCGCCCCGCGAGCTTCGCTAAGGGTCAGGTTTGATTGTGCAAATATTTGCAAATATAAAGATCCCGAACGAGGAGATTGGCACTGCTCAGCTCCTGCCGCGGCGCACCCAGAGCACACCCAGGACCCGGCTCAGCGGGTGCCACAGCCGGGGGGAGCCAGGGCCGCAGAGGTGGGGGCCAGCCCCCGGCCCACCCGCCTGCCTGGGAGCAGCCCCAGCTGCCCCAGCCAATCGGGATGCAGAGACATGAGGCTGCAGCTGGTGCCAGCCAGTCAGAACAGGGAGACACGAGGCTCCAGCCATCTCAGCCAATCAGGATGTGGAGACATGAGATTGCAGCTGCCGCAGCCAATCAGGACAGGGAGACATGAGGCCGCAGCTGCTCCAGCCAATCAGCATGTGGAGACACAAGGGTGAAGCTGCCTCAGCCAATCAGGACAGGGATATACAAGATTGCAGCTGCCCTAGCCAATTGGAACAGGGAGACACGAGGCTGCAGCCATCCCAACCAATCAGTATGTGGAGACACAAGGGTGAAGCTTCCTCAGCCAGTCAGGACAGGGATACACAAGATTGCAGCTGCCACAGCCAATCGGGACAGGGAGAAATGAGGCCTCAGCCACCCCAACCAATCAGGATGTGGAGATACAAGGCTGAAGCCGCCTCAGCCAATCAGAAGAGGGAGACACAAGGCTGCAGTCGCCCCAGCCAATCAGCACGCCAGGCCAGGATCACGCGCAGCCTCTCGTGGTGGAGGCACACCAGGTGTCTGCAGTGGTCTCAGCCAATCAGCGTGGGGGTAGAAGTGAAGCTTCGCCAATGGGTGTCCGGCCACAGAGCCGCTCCCTCCCGCCTCCCCAGACAGCGATGGGGGGGTGGCCCCACCCAGCTCAACACCCGCCATTTGGTGACCCCCCGCTCTGGGTCCTTGTGGAAAGAGGGGCTGGACCCGTCCAGCGGCGGCGGAAGCGCCGTGCTCTGCCACAGCCGCTGCCCGCCGGCGCGTCCCGTCACCCACTGCTTCTGGGGTGCCGTGGTGCCGTCTCCCCCCATCCCGCCCGTGGTGCCGTCTGTTTGTTCACCCCTCACGTGGGTGAGTCCCTGCTCTCCGGCCGGAGGAAGGCTCCCGCCGCTTCAGCGTCAACCTCACACACCATCACTGGCACACGATTCCCCTCCGTCGTCGCAAACGGAGCTGGGATCACCCTGCCCCATGCCTGGTGCCCCTCGACGTCCTTCCCCTGGCTCTCTGTGTCACCCCGCTCTCCCCCTCCCTTCATGGCTGTTGCTCATCCCCGCTCACAAACAGCCTTTTCATACAAAGGCTGGAGCGAAGAGACTGTCTCTATCCCTGATTATTCTTTTCCTTTCCCCATTAAATTATGGATCTTCATTTCCCCTGACTCCCCCTTCCCTCCAGTACTTCTTTCCGAATTCTTTCCTCATCATTCCCTTGATGGAACTCAGCCACGCAGTGGTCTTTAGGTCACGCCCATGTGCGGTTTCTTCACGTTGACCCGGGATCACACGCCCTTTGCTGTTTGCTTTTTAATTCCCCGGTCCTTAAAAACCACCTGGTGCAACCACAATCACTGTGTGTGATTCTTTCTCCCATTCCTCTGGAAAATAACCCTTCGGCAGGTTGGGTTACTCAGCGATGGCAGTACCTGTGCAGCCGTAGCACCCTGGGCACCACGGCCTGGCTGGGCTGGGCCTGAGGGGGCTCAGGGGGAGCCGGGGGGCTGCGGTGAGTGCAGATAATGTCAGGCAGCTGAGTGTCCTCCTTTTGGTGGCCCAGCCTGGCACGGCTGTCCCTGCCCAGTGGGCCTGGGGGGGCCTCTCCCCTCCCAACAGCTCCTGCTGGGGACAGGGCAGGGGCTGGCAGGGCAGCAGGCAGCAGGGCAGGGGTTGGCAGGGAGTGGCAGGGCAGCAGGCAGCAGGGCAGGGGTTGGCAGGGAG